CATGCCCTGTGATGCACCATAGGTGAGGGACAAAGAGACCCTTCCCCACCCAGTGTTATGCTCCAGAGGCTATGTGCCTCACTACACAGATTACAATGTAGATTTTCCCGCCTGACCACTCAGGGAGGGGATGGTTAGACATCTGGGCACCAGCCTTGAATTGTATCTCTTTAGTCTCGTTACTTATTAGACTTTAGGGGCATGGTTTGTTCTGAAGCCTAAAGATGCTAGCAGGAGGAAGAGCAGAGGAGACCATGACTGTTGGGCTCATCCAAAGGACTGCCTCTTCCCACTGAAAGTATGTTTAGATTCCTGTTGATATATATATATCAACCTTATACTTATTTGGTTATTAAAGCCAGAATTTAAATAATAGTTTTTAATTTCCTCCAATGTAAATGTACAATTCAGAAGTATAGTCCTCATTCATGTTCCTTTCTCCAGTTTCTTAGACTTTGTTAATATTATCTGAAGTCTGGGCTGTATATAAAATTCTTGTATCAAAGTCCTTCTCTTCAAAACTCTGTTAATTGCTGCTTCCATTATCTTTTGTTTGGTATTATTATCGCAGAAGAGAAGTCTGATGTCAGCCAGAATTTTGTTCTTTTATAGTTAACTTATTTTATTTGGTCTGAGTATTTAAAAAAAATTTATATTTGATTTTATAATTTAAAGCATTTTGAGGCTTTTTTTTTGTTTTAACCAAATTGCATTATATTTATTACATAATTTACGATGCCATTTTCTTTTTCATCCATTTCTTGTTCTTTTTGTTTTTGCTGGTTTGATCACGTTGCTCTTCATTCGATTTTTTGCCCTTGTTAATTTGGAATATGTACAGTAATTTTTTTCATTCTATCAATGTCTGTTTTTCCTCTCCTTGTTCTCATAATCAAATCCATTGATTCTATTATATGTGTCACCAACATACAATATTTCCCAACCAAGGCACTTACTTACCCCCACCTCCACTTCCCCTGAACACAATTCTGAAGTTGGGAATGCTAGAGTACTTGTATGGGAATTTCCCCTCTGTTCTCATTCTCCTCCTCCCTCCCCACCCAAAACACACTCCAAGAGAATTTTAGATCACTTACTGTCTCCCTTTCTAGTCCCCCAATATGATCTCAGTGTTGCTGAGTTAGCTCACTAGTTATTAAAATTTCCCATACACTATGACCTTTCTGCTTCAAAAGTCTTTCTTTAGCATTTATATTGCACATTCTCTTAACTTATTCATAACCATTTAGAAATACGTAGAAATCAAAGTTCATCTCTCTTCCACCTTCTTCACTTCTTCTCCCCTTCTGTTGAAATTTCTACCATGTTTCTTTCCTTATTTAATTATAATTTTTCCCAAGTATTGTTCTTGGATAGGATAGAGGGGTTATATGATCTCTGATTTCTTCCATGTTATTGTTGTTATTGTTAGGTTCTGACTCATAGTGACCCTACGTACAACAGAACGAAACATTGCCCGGCCCTGCTCCATCCCCACAATCATTGCTATGGTTGAGCCTATTGTTGCAGCCACTGGGTCAATCCATCTCCACGAGAGTCTTCCTCTTTTTCACTGACCCTCTACTTTACCAAGCATGATGTCCTTCTCCAGGGGCTGGTCCCTCCTGATAACACGTCCAAAGTACGTGAGAAGTCTTGCCATCGTTGCTTCCAAGGAGCACTCTGGCTGTATTTCTTCCAAGACAGATTTGTTCGTTCTCCTGGCAATCCGTGGTACATTCAATGTTCTTCTCCAACACCATAATTCAAACGCATCAATTCTTCTTTGGCTTTCCTTGTTCACTGTCCGGCTTTCACATGCATATGAAGTGATTGAAAATATTATGGCTTGGGTCAGGCACATTTTAGTCCTTAAAGTGACATCTTTGCTTTTGAATACTTTATTTCTTACATATCATGGAATATCTTTCTTTTCACCTGCCAGGTGAATGCTATCTTGCCTGGGTATAGGATTCTTAGGTTTCAGTCTTTTATTAATGCTGTAGAGATATTTCTTTGTCTTCTGGTTTTTGGTATTGTGTATTAAAGTCCAATGCCAGTCCATTGTAGATAACTTGTTCTTTTCTGTATATAGCCTTTTTCTTAACCTTGGAGTTTAGGAATGTTACCAGGGTATGCCTGTATGTCTGTCTTTTCTCATTAATTTAGTCTGCAACATACAAGCCATTTTAATCTGTCTTTCTCTTAGAGACATTTCCTCTATTGTTCAACTAATTATTGCCTTTGTTCTATCTCTTTCCTTTTTCCTTCCTATTATTCACATGTCAGGTCTCCTGGATCTATCCTCTCAATTTCTTACCGTTTTTCTTGTAATTGTCATATTTTTATAAGTTTACTTTAAGTTTTTTTTTTTTTTTTTTCACTCAGTTTTTCCAAACTACAAACTCAGGTCTCAGTAATGACCGTTATCTCCTTCAAATCACCTAGTGAATTGCTAGATTTTGTTTGGGGAGTGGGAATAGCTCAAGAAAACATGGGGTTTTTATTGTTGTTGGTTGGTTGGTTGGTTGCTGGTGCTGCATTTCAGTTACCTTAGTGCTCTCATTGCTTTCAATTCAGGTTTCATTGGCCTCCAGCAGCTGCTCTCCTTCATCATGTGTTCTGGTTGTTCTGCCTGGTCTTTCCCTATCTAGCTTCTGGAACTCTTAGATAGGTTGTTATATTTCTTTGTCAAGTGATTGAGGCTCAGACCTGAGCTGCATCTCCTAACAGTGGAGCTCTCACGGGTAGTAGGTGGCAAAGCGGATCTGTAGTGCCCTGCTGAGGCATCTGGAGGAGACCTCTTAGCTCTCAGGGCTCTGTATACTCTTCCAACCTCAGGGCAGGGCAGCTCCTTCCCACTAGCTCAGCTCGTTGGACCCACTGCCATCAAGTCCGTTCCGACTTACAGTGATCCTGTAGGACAAAGTAGAACTGCCCCATAGGGTTTCCAAGGCCGTAATCTTTATGGAAGCAGACTGCCACATCTTTCTCCCATGAAGCAGCTGGTAGGTTTGAACTGCTGACCTTTTTTGGTTAGCAGCCAAGGGCTTAACCACTGTGCCACCAGAGCTCTTTGGAAGATCCTCATAAATATTTCAGTAGAAACCTGAAAGAAGCTGTGTTAGGGACAACCAGCAAGGTGCTGTATAATTTGTTTTTTAGTTGCTGCTCTAGGAATCACAATATACATAACTAAGCTGTACATACAAATTCTTTACTCTCTCCTTTCTATGTTATAGTCGTCATATGTATGACATGCATCGAAAACCCTACCAGACAATATAGTTTTTAATTTCAACAGTCAAAAGTTAAGGGACATAAGTGAAGAAAAATAGTTCCAAATTTCTCTCTGGTATCTTTTCCTTTCGGCCTGAAGGACTTCCTTTAGCATTTCTTTTTAAGTATGTCTGCTGGTGATAAATTCTCTTAGTTTTCCCTTATTTGAGAATGTCTTTATTTCTTCTTCATTCCTGAAATGTATTTTCACTAGGAGTCAGACTTGACAGCTCTTTTCCTTCAGCTCTTTGAAGAGGTTGTTCCATTGTCTTCTTGCTGCCATGGTTTTTGATGATAAATACATATTGAATAATTTTTCTCTTATGTGTAATACATTTTTCTTCTCTATACGCTTTTAAGATATTTTATCTTTGATTCTAAGAAGTTTGATTATGTGTCTGGGTGTGCTACTCACTGAGTTTATCCTGTTTGGGTTTCATGGAGCTTCTTGAATCTGTAAATTTGAGTCTTTTACCAAAGTGTGGGAAATTGCCTGCTATTATTTCTTCAGATTTTTTTTTTCAGCTCCAATCTCTTTCTGCTCTCTTTCTTGGACTCTAATGACATGAATGTAAAACTTTTTGACAGCTTTGAGGCTATGTTCATCAAAAAAAAAAAATTCTCTCTGTTCTTTAGATTGTATAATTTCTACTGATGTATCTTCTAGTTTACTGACTCTTTCCCCTGTCATCTCTTTTCTGTTCTTGAGTCCATCCAGTGAACGTTGTATTTCTAGTATTATATTTTTCAATTCTAAACTATCCATCTGGTTCTTTTTTATAATTTATGTTTCTCTGTTGAGAACTTCTATCTTTCCATTTATTTAAAGAGTATTAACTTTTACCGTAAGAAGGAAGCTTATAACAGCTGTTTCAAAACTCTTGACTGATAATGCCAATATCTGCATCATCTTGGGATGGCATCTGTTGATTGTCTCTTCCTAGATATTTTGCCAAATATAAAGGTTTTTCATATGTTAAGTATCATGAACGTTTTCAGTATTATATTGTGAAATTTGGTATCCTGTTAAAATCCTCTGGAGAATATTGACTTTTTTTTGTTTGTTTCAGCAAGCAATCAGTCACAGTTTGTCATATCTATTGTAGGTGGTGGATTCAGTGTTAGTTTAGATTTCAAAGCTTTTGCTATACTGTTTGGGTTGCCCCACTCAGGGATTAGTCTGGGTCATGAGAGGAGATTTATATCTTACTTCAGCTCTTAAAGTTTTGCTTTGCATTTTTGGGTCTGTTACACACAGTGTGGCTCTGGGTTGAGCCTGGGGCTTATATAGGTTCATATATTGAATTAGTCCTCTTACTCAGCTCTCTCCTTTCCAGGATTTTCCTCATACCCTCCAGCCCATAGAGGCCCCTTTGACTGTTTCTCTGGCCAGAAAGCCTGAGTTTATTTTGGAATTTTAGCTGTCTGCACAGCTTTAGAACTTGGGCCCAACATCATGTCAAAAGTGCGAGAGGAAAGAGAAAAAACATGGCACACTCATCTACTTGAACTCCCTTCCACATGTTCTGCCTGATTTCCTCGACTTTTAAGTGTCCTTCGGTAGCTGCTTTTTGTCTTTTGTTCAGAGTTTTCAGTTGCATTCAGTAGGAGAGAAAGACTGTAGTGAGCTTACTCTAACTTAGCTGGAAGTGAACTACCAGATACTATATTAAACCAGAAGAGCTTTGCTCAACTCTTGCAAAGCTACCAACAAATAACAAAAATAGATTTGAATTTTGTCTTTTTATTTTTCCTTCCCACTCTCTGGCAAAAATACACTGGTAGGTCATGAAGTAACTAGATGGAAATCAGTAAAAAGCAGGAAAAGGATCATGGCATTATGGAGGGCTAGGGTTCTAAGAGAACTTGGGAATTATTTCTCACCACACCTAAAATAACTCTTCTCCCTGCCTTGCCAGGCCCTACACGAGTTGATTCTATTTCTTCAACCTTATTGTGGCCTATCTTACTTCTAGGTGACAATCTTCAGACTGCAATAACAGTGGCCAGAAGGTCTGGGATGGTTTCTGAAAACCAGAAAGTCATTCTTATTGAAGCAAATGAAAACAGTCGATCTTCATCAGCATCTATATCTTGGAAATTAGTAGAAGACAAGAAGCACATTGTATACGGGAATCAGGTATACCTGAAAACAGACCTTCTGCTCTATTACCTAATTTGTCTCACAGTTTTGGTGACTGAATAGCTTTGGCCAGCAAGGGTGTGTAGGTGAGATAAAATCAACATACTTCTCCAAATGTCTGATACATATGCAGATCATGAACTCAATCATATCACTTTCCTACGCTGTTCTTATGGAGCTATAAGGTACAGTGCTTTTCTGAGTGCTTGAAATAATACATTTTCTTAAAAAAAATTGTTAGCTCTGTATGAGAAAGAATATAGTAAGTGGGGCTGCAAATCTAATTCCCCATTTTTCTGTTGCTTGTCAGCTGCCTCAGTGGGCTTTCCTGGGAAAGGCCCCACTGTGTGCATTGGAAAATCAGACTATGCATCTGGGTGGGTGTTACAGAATGAATTGTGTTCCCCAAAAATATCTGTCAACTTGGCTAGGCCATGATTCCCAGTAATGTGTGATTATCCACCATTTTGTCTCAGAAGTGATTTTCCTATGTGTTGTAAATCCTATCTCTATGATGTTAATGAGGCAGGATTAGAGACACTTATATTAATGAGTCAGGACTCAATCTACAAGATTAGATTGTGTCTTAAGTCAATCTCTTTTGAGATATAAAAGAGAGAAGCCAGCAGAGAGACAGGGGGACCTCATACCACCAAGAAGAGCCAGGAGCACATGTCCCTGTGCTGAAAAGCTCCTAGACCAGGGGAAAATGGATGACAAGGACGTTTCCCCAGAGCTGACAGAGACAGAAAGCCTTCGCCTGGAGCCGACACCCTGAATTAGGATTTCTAGCCTCTTAGACTGTGAGAGAACAAATTTCTCTTTGGTGAAGCCATCCACTTGTGGTATTTCTGTTACAGCAGCACTAGATGGCTGAGGCAGTGGGGGGGGGGGGTTACTCATTTTTCTCCAGTCTTCTCAGTATTCTGTCTCTATTGTGCCCTTGTGGAACAATATTAATTCTGTAAGAAAAAAATAGTGAATTCTCACTTCAGGGAGAGATTTGTTAAGCTGCAGTGCTTTTGTATTTTACACTTGAAATGTGTGAAATGTGCTCTTCTCTGGGACTTGCTGAGATCAATCAGGATGAGAACAGGACATGAGTAAGCGTCCTTCTCCTGTTCACGAGGGGCTGGCATGTGCAATGATTGATCCAGCAAAGAGAAATTGCCTCTCTGAGGAATCAGGGCTGGGGTGTGACTTTTAAAGAGAGACTGTGGTCCGTCTTTGTTGCCTTCTTTTGGATATACTTGTGGTCTGAACAACTCTGTCCAGTGAAAGAGTCCAAAATAACTGTGTCTTGCTTTTCAGGACAATTATATTAACATCAGGGAAGAAGTCCCTGGTAACGACAGAGAAGGAAGTTACCATTTTGCCCTAAGTGGAAAATCCTTCCAGGTGATAAGTCAACATTTCAGCAGCCTACTTCCAAAGGTAGGTCCTAAGAGAGTGTCCATCTCACAGTAAATATGTGAAGATTTCACCTACAGAGAATGTTCTAACGTCTACCTAGGTGAGATATAGGTATTGAGTGTTTAATTCCATGCATTGTAAGGAAGCAGATATTTTTACAGAAGTTACTATTGTCTCGTTTCCTACTAGACTTGAAATAAGTAAACTTGATCAGCCAGTTTTCTACCAGCTGCAAGACTGAAATGTCAGTGACTTCTCAAATCGTAAGGATTGCTTTTGGGTAGCTATCACTACATTGCTATGGTTAGGGGTCTCATAGTATAATGAAAATACTGAAATTATACAGGAAGGCAGGCCAAAAATAGAGGAACTCTGCTAGGTGTTTGATAGAGGACCTCTGCACTGAAGAGGGTCAAACTTTAAAACGTTTCTGATGAAGAACAACCCCAAAGTGGGGGCCAGTAGGTTATCTATATAAATAACATCTGAACAAACTAGAGAGAGATTGCATCCAATGTCACCCAAACAGAAATTATTTGTATTCAGTTGCTCATCGTTTTAGGTACTGTGTAAGAAAAAAAGAGTAAATACTTTGAGACTAAGTGAGTACTAAGCTGAGATTACTTACAGGAAGAGGAGAGAACACACAGATGTAAAACACAGGAGGATTTAGAGTATGTAGGATGGAGCTTAGGTAGAGGGATCTGGTTACAGGCTTTTCTACCCCCAAACCATCAACGTTCCACAGACCAAATTAGGTTTGGGTTATTCGTTGAGTTTCACAGTTGGTTGAATTCAGATGGTATGGTTAAGTCACAGACCACAAATAGTCACTATTTCACCATTGACTGAATGATTTTCCAAGAAGCAGTTGCCTCCTTTCCTTTTTCTGGGATTCTGACACTAGTTACCTTGCAGTTTCTCATACTCTACTAGTTCAAGGTTCCATTAAGCCCAGGATTTTTTAGGACCACATTACCCATGTTAGCGAAGCTAAGTTCCTATAGGTCACTATTTTCATCAAACAGTTAATTAAGCAGTCATCTTTACTGATTTGTGGTCTCCATGGGTCACTTATCTGATGACTGAAGTCTCAGTGACTATCTTAAGAACCAAAGAAGGAAGGCCGCTTGGAAACAAATTTTGTTCCCATTCCCGGGTACGATCATCAAGCCTATGTTCTGAGTGTTATCAATTTTTTTTATGCGTGACCAGCTCATGTGATAAAAATTTTCATTTTTGGGTTTCTTACAGATACTGATCAATGGGACCATCTTTGCAAGAATGTCTCCTGGGCAGAAGTCCAGCCTGGTGGAAGAATTTCAGAAACTGGAGTAAGTTCTTTACCAGTTCAGGTGGCAGGAACTGCATGGAGGCACCACAGTCATAGGAGAGACAGAAGTACAGGGGGTCATTCAGTTTGGTCAGGGCAGTGGCCCTTACCTGGGCTCCACGTGAGAACCACCTAGAGAGCTTTGAAAAATTGCAGCACCAGAACCCCACCTTCCAGAGATTCTGATTCAGTCGTTCATGTTGGACTTGGACATCAGTATTTTTTCAGTGCTCCTCAGATAAGTCAACTGTGCATCCAGAGTTGAGAACTACTGGACTGGACCCTAAAGAGGCATAAAAGGGTGTGATGAGAAATAAGTCTGAAAGGTAGTTTGAACTCTGATGCTGGAGACACAATAAGCATCTAGCCTTTCTTTCTATAAGCTGTCATCATCACAGTTATGATATAGGAAGATTCATGTGACAAGAGATTCATGTAACTCTAAGAACGTTTAAATATTCCTATGCCAAAGCATCCTCTCCACCCAACATCAGAAAAGTGCTCTCTTTCAGTATGGTTGGGTCTCCAGTTTTAGACAGAATGGGCAGTCCAAATAAAGTGCCCATCATTCGGTCTCCTTTATTTCTTGTTTGTGGAACCCCACAGAGTACCAGAGGCTTTCTCTACTTCTGGCTCTTGACCACATCCATACACATTTGCCTCCTCCATCCTCCTACACACTTGATTCATCTTTTAGGCAAGCTTCTGGATTCAGAAAGTTCCATCTTCTCCACGTGGTTGAAAATCTGGAGAGTAAGCTTTGTTGTTGTTAGTGGCCATCAAGTCGATTCGAACTCATGATGACCCCATGTGTGTCAGAGTAGAACTGTGCTCCGTAAGGTTTTCAGTGGTTGATTTTTAGAAGTACATCACCAGGCCTTTATTCCAAGGCATCTCTGGGTGGACTTGAACCTCCAACCTTTCTGTTAGCAGCTGAACATATTAATTGTTTGCAATACTCAGGGACTCCTGGAATTAGGGAAGGTGTGTTGATTTCTCAACTCATAGTGTAAACTGTTGAATTACCCTTCACTTCTAGTTAGACCAGACTTTTAAGAAAACTCTCTTAAAATAAAAATATGTTTGAGTCTTAAGTAATGAAGGCCATTTTTATCTTTTCAATTAGAGAAATTAGCTGGTAAGATTGCTTTGATCTTCTTTCAATTGACATGGTTCCCTTTTAGTTACTTTGTAGGGATGTGCGGTGATGGAGCCAATGACTGTGGGGTAAGTAGCTGCTAGTGTGGGGGACCATACTCTATGTCAATTATACTTACCTGGAGCCATTTAAAGATAGTATCTCCTGGGATATGCACCACCTCCAGTCTTCTTGATGGGGAAACTCATGCTGAGGGAGTTGGGAGGGATTTGACCAAAGCCACTCAAAGACTCAGTGGTCAGGATAGACTAAATGGGATAGAATTTCATCCTAGAGTTTGATTCTTTGTCTAGGTATCCCAGTGCCATGTCTTCCTCATGCGGCAGCCAGAGCAAAGGTGGGTCATCTCCTGGCTGGTGCTTGGGCCCCTAGTCACCAAGCATGGACCTTAGCTGGCTTTTACTACGGGGCCTCAGTGGAGACCTATGTGAGTCTACATGGGCAGTGAGCTGACTGTTTTGCTTTCAGGCTTTGAAAATGGCTCATGTTGGCATCTCTCTGTCAGAGCAGGAGGCATCTGTGGCCTCACCTTTCACCTCCAAAACTCCAAACATTGAGTGTGTACCACATCTTATCAAGTAAGTAGGCACTTTCCCCCAGCAGTGTTTTGTCTCTCGGAGCCAAATCACATTGTCCTAGCCTGGGAAAGACCAGAGAAGCCTTGATTGTGTCTCAGGGCTGGGAGGGTGCTTTGTAGTAGAATGCAGTCAAACATTCTACTACCAAATGGACTTAACAAGAGTTGAAAGTAAAACTGTGAGAGCAATGACATTTCCAATGAAAGACACTGATTACATAATTTTTAGAAGATTGGAATGTGGAATTTATTACTGCTTTGACAGTGTTAATCATTCCTCTTATAGATTTATTTACGTTTTTATTGTTTCTCCTTAGATCTGGGAGAGTGAGAGAAACCTTCTCCTCCCCTTGCCTTCTTTCCCCATGCCTCTTTATGCTTCCTTTATGTATGCCTTTGAATTATCCTTCCCGTCACCAGTTTTCAAAATATTTCTTCATCTTTGCTGCTTTCACTAAAATTTCCCTTGTTTCTTTATTTCTTCCCCTAGACATGTACTTCTGCTGCATTTTATTTGAATGATAGAGATAGAATGTGGATACTCTTGGTTATTATAATAATTAGCATGTGTTTGCATTTTATGAAGAATTTTAATGCCTATTTTCTTATACTTCAAAACAGCCTGGAAATGTAAGAATGGTTGTTATTTCTTTTGCAAACAAAGCAATTGAGGCTCAGAGAACTTAACTGATGTGCCCAACATCACAGAGCCACTAAAGTTAGAGACTCTAACTCTAGAATAATTACTTACTCTAGTTAGAATTCGTTTTGTTTAAATGCGTTTTATGTAAAAATTTCCTACTCTCCTCACCACATTAAAATAATTATTTGGCTAGCTCTTGTCAATTTTCTTGATTTATTCGTGCGTTCAGTTGTTGAGGAGGCTCTTAGGGCTAGGCACCGTTGGAAACACTGAGGACCCAGAAGCAACTAAAAAAACAAGCCCTAGATCTCATGAAGCTTTCGTTCAGTGAAGGCAGTCAGGCATTTAACAAATACAGAGATAAATAAAGACAATGGTTATGTTTTTAACAGATACTATCAAGAAAATAGAGTCCATGGGAGGCACAAAGTAACTCCCGTGGCACAGTGGTTAAGAACTTGGATACTAACCAAAAGGTTGGTGGTTCGAACCCACTGGCTTCTCCATAGGAGAAAGATGTGGCAGTCTACTTCCATAAAGATTACAGCCTTGGAAACCCTATGGGGGCAGTTCTACTCTGTCCTATAGGATCTCTGTAAGTTGGAATTAACTCAACAGCAACAGGTTTGGATTTTTTTTCAAAGGGTAGCACAAACAGTTAAGCACTCAGCTACTAACCAAAAGGTTGGAGGTTTGAATCCACTCAGAGGCACCTCGGAAGAAAAGCCTGGTGATCAACTTCCAAAAAAATCAGCCATTGAAAACACTATGGAGCACAGTTCCACTCTGACACACATGGGGTTGCCTTGAGTTGGAATCGACTCTACGGCAACTGATATATATCAAGGAAAAAAAAGAAAAGGATAACGTGAAAGGTAGTAAGATGGCTCGGGAGGGGAGGTTGCTGCTTCAGATGGGGTGGTATTGGAAAGCCTCTGGAAGGAGGTGAGGAATGAGGAGGAACTAACTACCTTCTAGGCAGAGCATATGGCAGCGGCGAAGTTCTGCTACAGGAATAATCCTGGCTTGAGGATCAGATTTTAGAACCCCGGGAAATCATTATGACTGTGTTGTTGTTGTGTGCCATTGAGTCAATTCTGACTCATAGCAACCTTATAGGACAGAGTAGAATTGCCCCATGGGGTTTCCTAGGCTGCACCTGACCCGAGCCATGTTATTTTTAATTGCTTCATATGCATGGGAAAGCTGGACAATGAATAAGGTAGACTGAAGAACTGGAGCCTTGGTGGCAAAGTGGTTAAAAGCTCGGCTGCTAATCAGAAAGTCGACAGTTTGAATCCACCAGCTGCTCCTTGGAAGGCTTATAGGGTTGTCCTATAGGGTTGCTACGAGTCAGTTATACTGATGAGGTAAACAAGATTGGATAGTGTCTTAAGCCAATCTCTTGAGATATGAAAGAGAGAAGCGAGCAGAGACACATGGGAACCTCATACCGCCAAGAAAGCAGTGCTGGGAGCAGAGCGCGTCCTTTGGACCTGAGGTTCCTGCACTGAGATGCTCCCAGACCAAAGGAAGACTGATGACAAGGACCTTCCTCTGGAGCCGACAGAGAGAGAAGGCCTTTCCCTGGAGCTGATGCCCCGAATTTGGACTTGTAGCCTACTGGACTGTGAGACAATTAACTTCTCTTTGTTAAGAGGCCACCCACTTGTGGTATTTCTTTTATAGCAGCACTAAATAACTAAGACAGACATCATGCTTGATGAAGTAGAGGGTCAGTGAAAAGGAGGAAGTCCCTCAATGAGATGAATTGACACAGTGGCTACAACAAGGGACTCCAACATAGCAACAGTTGTGAGGATGACACAGGACCGGGCAGTGTTTCGTTCTGTTGTATGTAGGGTTGCTATGATTCAGCACTGACTCAATGGCACCTAACAACAACAGTCTTTATGGGAGCAGATTGCCAGGTCTTTTCTCCCCTGAAGTGGCTGGTGGGTTTGAACCGCCAACCTTTCGGTTAGTAGCTGAGTGCTTAACCATTGTGCCACCAGGGCTCCTTATCATGACTAATAAATCTATACCTTTTATTCCAAATAAAATAGATAAAAATGGTATTTTATAAGTAATCTATTTTATGCTTTAAACGTGTGCCATATGAGTCGGAATCAACTCAACGGCAACGGATTTGTTTGTTTATTTTTTGGTATTTGCTTAACATCAGTCAAACACAAATTAGCATAGTTATAGTCTCAAACCCACACATGCACACACACGCAAAAAAAACAGTTGCCGTGGAGTCAATTTTAACTGCTGGTAACCCTATGTATGTCAGGGTAGAACTGTGCCTCATAGGGTTTTCAATAGCTGATTTTTCAGAAATAGATCACCAGGCCTTTCTTCTGAGGTACCTCTGGGTGGACTCGAACCTCCAGTCTTTTGGTTAGCAAGTGAGCGTTAACTGTTTGCACCACCCACTTATAGTTTCCAATCTATTTAAATCTGATCTATGACTCATGTGAGTATGCATGCTGTTTTTAGTACAGTTTCAGAAATAGTTGGGGAGTACAAAATGAAATTTGAACCAAGTGCTCGCCAAACTCCTAAAACATCTGCAAGGAAATAGACCTCAAACTTGCAATCTTATTTAAATCTCTCAGTTCACAGATAAAAAAAAAAAAAAAAAATTGTGACAGAGAGAGGGAAATGACCTTCCAGGTCACATTAGTGAGTAGACACCAAATCTGGGACTAGCTCCCAGGTGATCTGACTCTGAATTCAGGAGCTGAAATAATGTCAGCAGAGAGGACAAGGGTAACTTTAAATGTGGGTTCCATAGCTGGATGAAGGTCTGTGAAAGTTGGCCTGGAATTGGTCTTCCCTGAAAATCTAGCCAGCTCCCATTGGCTCAAGGCTGTCCAGTCTGTCCAACAAACAATCAGATAATCAGACTTTTGATTTTTTTCCTCGTGAGCTCAGCTGAACAGCCCAGAATAACTGGCCTCATTTCTTTTCCTTACGCAGGGAAGGACGTGCAGCTCTCGTGACCTCGTTTTGCATGTTTAAGTACATGGCTGTGTACAGCATGATTCAGTATGTTGGTGTTCTGCTGCTCTACTGGGTATGACTGGGGACCTAGCCTCTTGGTTAGCAAGAACTCAAACCAGTGGAGGTGTACTCTCGTTTGCAATGCCTCTTAGTGAGAGTCTAAACAGGATGTTTTAGCACTAACAGCCCCTCTAGAAGTGTTTTGGAAAGTACATCAGAAATGGACAAATGTGCATGGGAAAGTTTGTTCATGTCAATTCTCTCTCTCTCTGACACACCAACCTTTTATCTGGTGGCAGCTGAGGATCAAGACTGAACACAGCACTGCTTCTGTCCTGGCCACTTTCACCTGCCCAGTTTGGGCAACATCTTTACATTCCCAGTTCCGCAGTGGTTCTACCACAGCATACCATTCATGAAGGAGATGATTCGCTGCAGTGGTGTGCTGGTAAATGTTTTATAACTGGCTCTCCCTGGAAAAACAAGCCTTGATTATTAATGTTTGCCAATTTCTGTGGTGGAAATACTTCTACCGTAGCCGATTTCAAGTTTCCAACTTGGCATGATTGATCGTGGAGTTGGGAGAACATGCACAGTAGCACACTGTTATACAGTACTTCCACCATACAGATGCAACAGATGTAAACACTCTCCAGAGGACAGATAACAGAACAATGCAGTAAAATTATTAGGAAGTGCACAGTTTTGAGCATTTACTACGTTTGTTTTTAAAACAGTTTATTTAGTGGCATATTTGTGTGTGTGTGTGTTTTTTTTAATAATGGCTGTGTTTAACAACTGGCACAAAAAATTTCTGTAACTTTAGCGATTGACTCCGTTGAGACGGTAGAAGCAGATTCCAGCACACCACTGATACCCTGCATGTGGGGATTTAAAAACTGGCATATCATACCTCAAAAAATACAGGTCTTGTGATGGTTTTTACTATTCAACAAGATATAAATAGTGAAAAGACATTCCTATGGTTTGTGAACCCAGCTTGTGGGCTTATTTCATTAAGTATCTCTGAGTTCTGCAGTAAAGGTGTTTTATTTATGCTGAACTTATCTAGGTTCATCTCTATATAGTATTGCCGCTTGCTCTTGGGTTAAAAATTTTAGCTTTGTTGTTTTTAGATCACCTGTGTCTTTTCCCTCTCACCAATAAATGGCTTGGAAAAGGACAGGTTATTTATGGAAACTTGGCCCTATTTTGGAATCTCAGTAACTCATTGTGCTAAAAAGTACAGTTAAACATGAGATTTCATTCTCTCCTTCCCACTAAGGGACAGGGAGTGGGAGTCTGGGAGGTGATGAGACAAGTCTACTTGAAATCAGGAAGACCTGAACACATTTTCTTCAAAGGTATCCGTGCTTTGCAACATCAAGTCTAACACCATCCAAGAACACAAACAGTGGGTTCTATTATTCCCATTTTCCATTTAGTAGAATTTAGGTAAGATCACACACTTGTCACTTATACTACTGGGAATGCACTGTTTTATTGTGTCAGACCAAACCCCAACTTCTCTGCCTAAAAGTAGAAAAGAGAGCAGAGACTAATCTAGTAGGGCCAAGTACTGTCCTCAACAAAGGATCGTCCCAATGCACAAGCGACCAGTGCAGAAAGCACTCCTGTTTAGTGCTCCCCCCACCCCCCACCCCCACTTAGTGAGGGTTTCACAGGCGTGGCTTTGACTACCCCCTCCAATACCGCCACTCACCGACCTGAGGAGGCCTGGCCACGCCTCCTCTTCTTGGTAGTTTACTAGAAAGCTCTTATGTTGTAAATGAACCCAATTGATGTCAAACTTCATCCAGAAGGTAATAATTTTTCTGAGCCTTTTTTTTTTTTTCCCCCTTTTCTTTTCAGAAGACAAACAACCTTTCAAACTACCAGTTTCTGTTCCAGGATCTGGCCATTACAACTCTTATTGGTGTAACAAGTAAGACATTTTACAAACTTCCTTCCCAGATGTGCTCCCCTCAGCTTACTCCCCTCTGCCCAGAAGCACTCCTCTACCAGAAGAGACAGCAGCAGCAGTGATATGTAACTTACTCCCAAAGGGGCATACAGAGAGAGAGAGAGGAAATAGAGTCCTCATTTTCAAGTGTTGAGACATGGTTTTATCAAAGGAAAAGCTGGCTTGCTATTTTGCTGTTTTCTACAAAATACAGAGCTTTCATAAATGGTCACTAAACATTTAAAAAGAAAACAGCAGCTTGAAAACCAAGAATGCTGACTTTAGTGTGCTAATTTTAGGTATAGTTATAGTTGAAAGGTGCCCAATCTGTAGAAGCTAAATAGCTTTTATGTTTCACATCTCCAAAAGCTAGCCTCTTAGGATTTAGAATGGAGCTTAAGGGTAATCTTGCCATTATACCACCCCCATGCCCCACTTTCTAACTAATGTATGAATCATCTCCCCAACTTCCCTGCTAAGGGATTTTTTCAGACACACCCACCAACCAGCACCTTTACCCATATTCTCTGCTTTTCTCTCTGTTACATGTAAATGCTAACAATTCCACTTGTACTTTGTATCCTATTTTCCTCCCACCTTCTCAAGGACTTTGTCCGTCTTATAACCTTTCTCCACTATCATCAACTTTTCTCTGATCTACTGGATTACTCCCTTCAGCATATAAATATGTTGTAGTATCTTCCTTTTTAAAAAAAAATTCTTCGTGAATTCCAAATCCCGCACTAGCTACTGCTCCCTTTATTCTCAAACTTCCCAAATAGTTGTATGTATCCACTTTCTCCACTTCTCATCTCTAATTCTATTGTCATCCCATTTTAACCAGTCTTCCATTCCCACCACCAGAGGTGCCACCAAATTCTAGTATTTGAGGGCATGAATCTGGATGCTGTGCCTATGCTGTTGTTGGGTGGGAGGCCGTGGTGTGCTAACAAATGTTTAACCACTAGTTCTCTAAAAAAAATCATGTATATGTATAGATATACAGACATATGATATATACATATTTATTGTACTTTAGATGAAGGTTTACAGAACAAATAGTTTCTCATTAAACAGTCAGTACACATATTGTTTTATGACATTGGTTAACAGCCCCATGACATGTCAACACTCTCCCTTCTGGACCTTGGAGGACTTTTTTTTTTTAAGTGAAAATATACATAGCAAGAGTTACACGATTTCAAAAGTTTTTACATGTACAATTCAGTGACATCAATTACATTCTTCCAGTTGTGCTGCTATTCTCACTATTCTTTTCCAAATTATTCCATCACCGTTATCTTCAACTCACTGCCCCCTAGGCTTCCCATCAAACCTTTTGAGTTGCTGTTGTCAATTTGATCTCATGTAGAAAATTCTTTTTTTTTTTTTGTACCTT